ACTTGGGATTTGGAGTCCATAGATGTTGAATCTATTGCCAAATCACACCAAACTTTTGGAGCAGAAAAGTAAAATGAGACAATTAACGTTCCCAAATTGGGAACTAAGTCCAACATTCTGCAATATTTCAAAATTCTGCAACTATACTAGCAGGGCAGCTCACTCACACTCTTCTTTTGCAATATTTCTCACAGTTAGATTTTTCACTATTACAACACATATAAAATGAGCAATAGTAAACCTAATCACATTTGGGTTAAACTGTTCCAGGCCCAAATCTTTGCAAACCAAATTCAAACCTAATTACCGATTGGGTTTGTTGTGTAGGGGTGCTACCCCCTCACCCCCACCCACTCACCAGTTAGCGGGACCCCAGGTGTGCCGGTGTTCACCAATAATCCATTAACTCTGTGTAAAGCATGAACAACATCCAACAATCGACTCCGCATGATTAATTTTACAGCTTAGTGGACTGCTCTTTCTATAATGCTTTCATGTGTATGCATGGAGTCTTTTATATATGTGTGTGTACGTACGTATGTATGTATGGATATAAAAGATTGATAAGGTTTGACATAAAATGAGATCATCACAATCATCCATACAATTACCTAAAAAATCCTGAGCGACTGACTTCCCCTTAGCTCTTGCAATCTCTTGGAGCACTTCAGAATCCATGACTCGATTAGTTCCCAAAAGAGCTCAGTTGGCTTCTAATGGCGAGTAAGCTGTTATGTGGATACCCTTTTCCTCACAGAACTTCCTCAGCTTCTTCTGTTGCCAAACTGGGTTCAGCTCCACCTAACAAGGACATGAAACATATGATATACTCAATACTTATCGATATAAAAAACATACAAATATTAAATTTTGTTAAAGAATTAACAAACTTGATTGACAGCAAGAGGGATTCTTCGCAATGGCAAGTAATTCCTCAAGCTTCTTGCATGAAAAGTTACTGACTCCTATGGATTTGGTAAGACCAAGCTTTTGACATTCCTCCATGGCCCCCCAAACAGACTCAAAGTCCGTTTTCATAATATCCTCTTTCTTCAATAAAAGGCTTGAATCTGACTCCGGTCTCAAGCTTAACGGATAATGAATGAGATAGAGATCAAGATACTTCAAACTTTGCATGATGATAAAAATTCTCAGCAAAACTTTCGTGACAAAAACCCTCAAGAAAATCCCTGTGTTTTAGATGGGAAAGTTGTGCAAGAAAATATTATTATTATGAGTGAGGGGTCAGTTTCTGCTTCTGCAAGTAGTGGAAAAGGAGCGATAAGGTTGAGGAAGAGGCCGGCGAGGCTTGTTGTGCCTGAGAATTGTGCGAACTTGGTATTGAAGAGTGAAATAGAGAGGAATAATAAGTTGGAAAGGAAAGAGTTTGAGGTTGAAGGGAGAGATTTCATTTTGGCTAGTAAGAAAGGAAGAAGAGAGGTTATGGAAGATGGATATGGAGTCATGGTTGATATTCTTGGAGATCCTAAACAGGTAATTTAACTTACAATAATCTCTCTATAGTCTTTACAATAAGAATCTGACTACTTTGGATGCAACTACAACTAGGTATATCACGTTTCAAATTCTAATTTCTTGGTGTCCAAGAGTCTTATAAAGGGCAAAAATTGATGCATAATGTAAGTTTTGATGCATGAATATCATTTTAAATGTACCCAATACAGTAAAATTCTTATGCTTTCTACGATTTTGGTGCTAAAAATTTTCTTTAACCTAAGCATTAGATAATCTAACTTGATATTCAAATACTAGAAGTTTGGATTCTTACAATGCCCGGAAGTCGCCAGAATGACGTATGACTATTTGGATTTGGCCATTTTCGGCTAGATTCACCATAGATCTGGCCGGAAAAGGCTAGATCTACGACCATATCTTGGCTGTTGTTTGGCTGTTAATGACGGTCAAGATATGATCATCGTCAACGACCAGATCTGACCATTTTCGGCCAGATCCAGTCGCTTGTGTGCCATTCTGGGGACTTCTGGCCACTGTCTGGCGGTGGTGGCTGGCTACCAGCAATAGTTGGATGGGTTAAGTGTTTTTGTTAATTTGTAAACTTTTATTATGGGGGGTGTTTAGTAAAATTAACAAATATTGGGGGTTAAAAAACTAAATATTTTCAGAAAATATTTTTAAAAAACTTACCAAGCACATATCATAATCTTATTCTATTTGATTAAATCTTATCCAGAATAGAATACTATTCTAAAAACTTAAACAAAGAGAGCCCTCGATTTTCTTCGTTCTTAAAATGGTTAAAAATAAAAATTGTGAAAGGGATTGGCAAAGCTGGCTCCTCTCTTTGTGTTTTTACTTTTACTCTTGTTGGACATGCTCACATGGTTTAATTATCTTAGATTATGTAATAGGGCTAATTAATGCGAGCAATTAGTTGACTTGAGTCAAATTCGGGTTGCCTTTATCAAGTCTTCTCCTCTTTTATCAAATTTCCAATATAAATTAACCAATTAATGTTTAAAAATTGAAATAAGTAATAATTGATAGGCAAAAAGCAAAAGGATATCACTGATTTTGTTTTCTTTGTCTTTTTCCAAATATATCGTCCATATATTAAAAACAAACAATAAAGTAAGTAACAACTTAATTATTGATGATACTTACCCGACATATTGATATTTTGACATGTGATAACATTAATCCATATGTAAAGTAAATCATATCATGCATAAACATGAAGTGGGTGACCCCATATAAGTTACACCACATCTATCCAAAAAAAAGGGTGACCTATAGGTTTTCATATTTCATTACCTATTTAAAACTTTGACCTGTTTTGACCTGATCCATACCCACCAGGCCACCCGTTTGCTAGGTCTAATCTATGATACCACAAGGGTACCACGTCACCTGTACCATCAACCAATATATTGTTGCAACATATAATTTTAAATTAATAACTACTAATCACTTTAATGATAAAAATTTAAGAGAGAAAATGTTCATAGGCAGTGTAAATGCATTGGTATGTGATATGGGTGACGTGGTACCCTATAGTATTCTAGATTTTTTCATAAAAGATATATTGATTCCGGATTTTAGGGGAAGGAGAGAGTTTGTTTATTTTTTATTATAAACAACTCTAAATTATAGTGACAAATATTAGTAGCTATGCCACGTAATTCATGAAATTAAGCAGGTTTAAAATTATTAAAGGGAAGGTAGTGTTGGATTTAAACAGAATGTACTTACTAATCGGTGGTGAGATATTTTACGGGAAGATCCATCTATTCTTGAATGAGGCTTGGGCTTTAGAAAAGGAGCAAAGCTTTGGATCCATTCAAGGCCCAATCATCTTATCTAAGTAAATTTTTTTTTTTTTTTTCTAAATAAAAATATCAGCCTTTGATCTCTAGATCCAACGGTTGTATCAGATCAATAACGTTACTGACTTGGTAGTCTAAATCATTTTTTTTTTTTTTCAAATTTAACTTTGATTAGCCTCAGGATAACTCAAATTGAAGTTTCTCAAGTTTGTAGAACATTTACAAGGTTTCTGTGCTGTTATGAATAATATGCACATTATCTTATGGTTACGTTTATGATGCTTTCATACTTTAAGAAGATCATATAGCCAAGAATTTTCATTTCTTTTGTCCTTTGCATTATCGATTGAATGCTAACTTTGCTGATTGTTGAAGAACTAGGACTTAAAAGCATTAAAAGTGAAGAGTGAAACAATCTAGAGAACTAGTAATCGAAACCAAACAAATAAATAATTACACATAAATAATATAAACAGTAAAGAGAAAGCATAAGTGTGATTTATCTTGATTCACCTAAAAAGGTGTTACGTCTAGTAGAGTCAAGATTATCAAAATATCTCCTCTTCTCTCTTGTTACAATGAATATATTTGCCTATTATTTGCTATATTATTCATATAAGAGAATAATAAGTTTATATACTAGATTTAATAAAAAAAATATTACTAGGATTTCTATTCTTAAGCTCAAACCTAATTAAAAATTTTAATTATTTAAAAAATCTTATAATAACTTTTCATAGGATAGGCCCAAACACCCTACCATCCTATGATTCACATTTTACACTTTTCTTGCACGTAGTCATGGCCGACCAATTGGGTCAACCATTTCACTTTGTTTACAAATATTATAAACGTAAATTAAACACACACAATAATCCTTCGTCAGATTTTATTTATTTATTTTTGTTTACATTATAAGGTTCAGGCCAATCGATATAAACAAGTACATGATTAGTACTTCCTCAATTATGGTTAATTATTTTTATCAGAAATAAGGGCAAGAGTGAGCATGTGGGTTTGTGGTTGTCCAAAGGATTTATCAAATTGGTTAAGTCAGCTAAAATGGTATTCGAATAGCGAGTCAGTCAAACTATTTGCACATTCAAAGTCAATTAATGCATACCTTATTCTATTCTCTGACTCTGACTGACTTTTTGATCCCTAACTTCCCCCAATTTAACGTTTTGTGATCATTTCTACAAGAGCAGCCACGGTTCTAAGCAATAAAATTCCTATAATACCCAATTCTCTGGTACTGATCACAGTTTTCTTTCTGCTCAGAAAAAAATAAAATATATTTATATATATATATATAAATTTTGATTTAATTTTATTTATGTTAAAGTATAGGTTAATCAGTTATTATTTTAAGTTGGGTTTGATAAATTTTGATTAATTATTAAATTAATTTTAAATGATTTAAAGAATTGATAAAAATGATAAGAGATTTAAAAATTTAGTTAAATTTAATCAGTTGTTGTTTTGTTGCTAACCTTTGTCTAGACGTGTCAATAAGTCGAAGAATAGAACTTGACGAAGTTATCATCGTCAATCAGAGATTCAGATGTCATAGTTTTTAACAAGTCAATGAGTCGTGTCTTCTCTGTACTATTCACCGGGAGAGATGTTGGAAATATTGCACAGCAGGACTAATTCACACTGCTTTTAAGTCTGTTTCTGCGAGTCTATCCTACTCAATTTCCAAGGCAACTGACGCGTTTTAAAATACAAAATTATTGAACATATTGAGTCGAAGCCATTACAGTATTACAGAATACATCGGTTAGTTCTAAGATTTCTTAATAGTAATATTTAGATGGCTTTTTCAGCTTATTATGTGTTTTTTCTTCTTTCTCATCTTTTGCTGTATTCCTTGGCTCAAGAAGAAAAGAGGTTTAATCCAAGGTGTCCTCCTTTTGATTGTGGTTATCTTGGCAATATTGGCTTCCCCTTCTCCAATCGAACGCATCCGGAGTGTGGGTTGCTGGTTGTAGATAACTGCACTGAAAATGTTCACAAGATTCGGTTGGGGAAGGATGGCCAGTGGTTCAGTATCAGAGGCATCTCTCAGGATAATATGGTCCTGCTTTATGACCGTCCTCGTGAAGAACACGCGAAATATTGTAGCCCCAAAAGATCCTTAAAACATTTGAGTCTCCCCCTCTCTCCTTTTCTATCTCTTAACGTGCCCTACAATCAATCCCTGTACGATTGCCCCCGCAATTACAAAGCCCCCAACATTTCCAGTTTTGCCTGCACTAATCCCCGACACTCCTATATCTACTATAGTTACCCTGGTAAAACTTTGCCACCTCCCTCTAACTGCACAGTTATTAATTTCCAAGTGAATAGGACTCAAACAAGTGTTGAATATTCTGATTTGTTTATGGGTGAATTCATTCTGGAAGTGAATGTAGCAAATGAATGTGTTGATTGTTTTTTGGCTGGAGGGCAATGTCAAACTGATAATGAGGGACAGTTCGATTGTTCTGTAAAGGAAAGAACAGGCATGTAACGATTTCCATGTTTCACATTTTCGTTTTGTTGTAACAGTTTACTTGCCAAATTTCATAGATTTAAATACATGTCCTGCTTTTTGTGATTTACATGGGTTTTTGCTATATCTTATTGGAAATTTGGAGTGGAATAACATAAGAAAAGGATAAACATAAGCTCCAGATCACCAAGTCTGTTAATTTATTATCAGCTTTTGTTGCAGGCCAAGAAGGAGAAGATAAAAAATTGGGGCTGAAGCTAGGCTTAGGACTGGGTAATACATCTCTTTAGTCTTTGAGTGATGCTATGGGTACTAATGGATGAGTACAAATTTGTGTACTAACTAAAGCATAGTACCCGTACTATGCACATAGTACGGGTACTATGCTTTAGTTAGTACACAAATTAGTACCCATCCATTAGTACCCAAAGTATTATTCTTAGTCTTTAATCTAATTCTTGTTGATATTCTCTACTTATCGTTTCAAAATTATGATGATCTTCTTCTTCTCTACTCTCTACTCTATTCTTTATCTCTGCTTGATTTTAAAATATAATCTTAATGTTTATATAATTGTCTAAATATTGATAGAGGTGAAGAATAAAAGGTTCTCAATAACCTTGTCAAAGCTGAATCCTTGTGGTGAATTAATCTTTGGATAAAAAACTACAAATGCTTCAGTGTCTTTGATTCTCTGTTTCATTCCTCTGTTTTTCTGGAAAATTCAGATTACATGTTGCACTTCCATTCTTGTGTGCTTATGTATTATTTATGTTAGACAACAGCTGGAAATTGACCCAAAATGTTCATTTCTCGCCTCAACAAAATCAACATCGTCAGCAGTTGATATAGTTATTATATCAAGTCCTTTCTCCAAGAGCTTAACTTCATCTTGTTTGAGTCTTTAAAAAATATTTCTTAGTGGCATGGATGACCCATCTAACCATAAAAAGAAAAAAAAAAAAAAAAAAAAAAAAAAAATTCTGCCCTTTGCTATCCTTATGTTCTGATGATTCCTTTCTTCAATTAATTGCAGCCGTATCAGCCACTGCAACTGGTATATTTATAGTTTTGGTCTTTTGCTCCTGGAGAAAATCGTCACCACATAATGCCATGCTCTTTTGCAAGATGAAAACTAAGAATTACCAAAACATTGAGGCATTTTTAAGGAATCATGGATCCCATTCTCCTAAGAGATATAGTTATTCAGATATTAAGAAAATGACCAATTCGTTCAGACACAAAATTGGCCAAGGAGGATATGGAGGTGTTTACAAAGGTAGGCTACTTGATGGTCGCGATGTAGCGGTGAAGAATTTAATTGATTCCAAAGGTAATGGTGAAGAATTTATAAATGAGGTTGCTAGCATTAGTAAGACTTCCCATGTCAACATTGTCACTCTTTTAGGTTTTTGTTTTGAGGGTCGTACAAGAGCTCTCATCTACGAGTATATGTCCAATGGATCTCTTGAGAAGTTCATACACGAAAAAGATCAATCCCAAACAAATCATTCATTGAAGTGGGAAACATTTTACCAGATTGCAATAGGCATAGCTCGAGGATTAGAATACTTGCACCGTGGTTGTAGCACACGAATTTTGCATTTTGACATAAAGCCTCATAACATTCTCTTAGATGAAGATTTTTGTCCGAAGATCTCTGATTTTGGTCTTGCAAAAATTTGCCCCAAGAAAGAGAGTATTGTATCAATGACAGGTGCACGAGGGACAATTGGTTATATTGCTCCAGAAGTATTTTCTAGACACTTTGGAGTAGTCTCTCATAAGTCAGATGTTTACAGCTATGGAATGATGGTTATAGAAATGACAGGGGGAAGACAAAATAACAATGTTGGAGTTGATAATAGTAGTGAAATATATTTTCCGCAATGGATTTATGAACGTCTTGAAGTGGGTGAAGAACTTGGACTGCAAGGCATTTCAAATGAAGAAGATAAAGAATGTGTAAGGAAGATGATTATAGTGAGCCTGTGGTGCATACAGACTAATCCTTCAGACCGGCCAACAATGAGTAGAGTAGTGGAGATGTTGGAAGGGAGCATCAATTCCTTGCAAATTCCACCCAAGCCTTTCCTATCTTCATCAGGATCAGCCCCAAGAGATTCTTCAATTAGCCTACTAAGTTAAGTAGTTCCTAAAAATGATGTATTAATCAACTTGCATAACTTCATACTGAGAAGTGTGATTTCAGATGTATTGGTACATTTTCAAATTTATATATTATTAATAACTCTGCTTTTTAACTCTGTTCTGATAACTACTTTATTCATAGGCACTAAATGATCACTAGCTTGCTTTGCTCCTCCACCTACACCTCAACCCAAAACACTAAGAAAACTACATATTAGTTCATATATAAATCAGCTGTAGATTAGCAGAAAACTATGAGCATGATGTAACTTATTGAAAGGTGTATATTAATAGCATCTAGCAATTTAACAAATACTGTCAATGATCTGTAATATTTTATATTTATTTCTTTTATATTTATTGTAACACCTAGGAAAGCAGTGTAGCATATAAGAATCTAGCACATTTTCAGGGTAGCATAGAATGGTGTGAACAAAAAGACATTGATGCATCTCCATATATAAACAAAGTAAAGAATTGATGACTTTGCGTGCGGGAAATGCGGAAAGAATCATGTGTGCACATGCATCACACACCACCTAAATCGAAACTTGGCTCTAAGTAAGAGGATAGTATAAAAGAACAACTATTCTTGCGAAGGTGACGTGGTGGCCCGCTTTGGGTGCTAGTTGTGGTGGTTATGAAACAATCATGTACGTGAATTATATGGGTGCTTTTGGTTGGGAGTAATCCCACATTAACTCTAATTATATTATCATATTAATTTGGTTATTAAGTAATAAAAGATTTCATTTTGAGTACCATCTTTTCTTAGATATTCTAAAGTTATTTGATAACCTTAATTTTGTTATAATTTTACTCATAATTAATAAAATATTTAGACTTTATTACCTTTGTAGTTCGACTAAATGAAATCCCCAAATTGATTTTTCACCAAATCCAATAAATACCTAATCTAACCCATTAATAATATAATATAATATAATATAATAATATTATTAATAATATAATATTAAAAAAGAATAGCAAAGAAAAGCAATTTAGTAAAAAGTTTCTCCAAAATTTTTTTATTCTTTCCAACCAAACATAATAGTTATTTATATTCACCAATTTATTTCAATATAACCAAACATGTTTAATATAAAATTTTTAATAATCTTTAAGGTAACCTACCTTTTTATTAATACAATATTTTCAATAATACAACATTTTCGAACCAAACATTACTTCTATTCTATTCAAATGATGAAGAGCAGATAAAATCACGGGTGAGTACATAAATCTCTGATGTGATGTTATGAGTTTTTCAACACGTGAAGTTCGTGTTGGCTAGGATCTTGTTTTCTCTCTCTATTTGTACGAATTTACGAAATTAACCAAGTAGATTTTTATCCAAAATCTGCTGACGTCATTTGTTTAGCCCGATCTGATGTTGCACAAAAAGAGTCATTTTATTATGGAAATTAAGAAAAAAATCTGGCGAATTATTATGAGTAATTTTAGGATGGCTTGAATAATAATTTAGCTATAGTACATTATTTTGTAATATGAAATGAGTAAGGAGCAACGTGATAAACAAGTTGGCCCATGCAAATGACGTAACATACTGAACAAGTTGGTCTAGACATGTCAAATAAGTTGAAGAATCCTCTCCTCTATTTCCAGTCAACTGGCGTGTCTTGCTTTTGGAGGAGAAGCAACTCTGCTGCTATGGCTCGTTTGTCTTGTCTTGTGTTGTTTGTTGTCTTTCATCTCTTACTTCTTGGCTTGGCTCGAGAAGAAAAGAGAATCAATCCAAAATGTCCACCTTTCTCTTGTGGTTTACTTGGCGAGATCGGCTTCCCCTTCTCCAATCGAAAGTTCGGTTTGGTCTGCAATGACTCCAAAAACTCGTTTTTATACTATCTCCCAACTGCTGAATTGCCAAGTTCTATATCTCAATCATGTTCAAGTATTCCCTTCCATGTGATTAAGACGCAACACAGTGTTGAACTTTTCAATTTGTCAACTTATGAATTCGCCCTGGTGGTAAATGTGACAAAAGAATGTCGTAACTGTTATAAGGCCGGAAGGCGATGCCAAACTGATAGCGACGTGTTCAACAGGATTCTGTGGTGTGATTGTATTGCTTGCTGTTGCAGAAACATGTTTGTCTGTTCTGTATGAATTATTTGTTCAGCCTTGGAGTTCAACAACTCCGAGATACTACATCCTCTGTCTCTCATCAGATTTCCTTCTGCATACATTTTTTCTCTGCCCCGTTACCTACTTTAACTGCAAAGACTATTCAAAGAAACAAGTTTGTCCTCAGTTAATAGTCTTATCACAATAATAACTTGTGGTGTTTCAAGTTTCAACACCTTGAATTTAAATCCTCTGCTTTATGAGACATAGTTAGAGAAGATAACCTCTTCCAAATCAGATAAATATTCTTGAAATGTCAGTAGATTTCCTTGTGCTTACCTTTGCTGCCCTATTGCCTACTTCACCTGGAAAGAATTTTCTTTATCACAATGACAACCACCTCTTAAATTTAGAGATTACAATGGCCCAATTTGCACAACCCTTTCTTTGTAGAATTTGTTCCTTTCTTGCCTCGATTATCAGGAAGTAATTAACCCAAAACGCTACCTTATCTGTTTATATTTTCTCATAGATGACAAACCCGTTTTCTCTTTTCACCCCGTCTTCTGAACTTTTGTCACAGGCCCGCCAAGAGCGTCGCTGCTCCAAAGTTTGTGGACCATTTAGCGAAGTTTCTCTTTTGTTCTGTAATGAACAAGATGGGCAATCATTTTGTGGGTATTTGATACAACCACCTGCAGATTAAATCAAACAACACCCAGCCAGCAATAATTCTCACACAAATCAACCAACACACACATTCAATCACAACTCAAGACACAAATGCAATTCCTGCACTGCTTGTATTAAACAGAATAACTGGATGAAAATAGAACAGATGAAAAATGGAAAAATCATAAAACCCTGGCGTTTCGAGGAGCCAGGAACCTCCACTGTTTTATCAACGCAAAATCAAAAGTGTTTTCCTACTACATCTCTCCCTGAATATATACTAATTCCCTTTTTCCACAATTACCCTTACTCACACAATTTGTATTCTCCAAAACAGAATCCACGCTAATGACACCTGTACTTTGTGGTCCCTCTCCCTTAACAACCTTCCTAATGCTTTTTACGCCCTTTAAGGGTGTAGACTTTATGCACTGCCAGCTTATCAATAACCCCCCCTCCCCCCCCCCTGAAGATTCACCTTGTCCTTCAAGGTGAAATTGTGGGAACTGTAATCGAATCACTTCATATGGTTCCCAGGTGGCTTCAAAATCAGGTAAATGCTGCCATTTGATGAGAACCTCTTTAGACCACCTGACAGGGTACGCACCGCAAGAACAGCATCTGGTTGGACCATTAATTCCATGTCTTCAGAGAGTGAGTCAGGAAGGGGTTATAGGTACCGATTGATGTAAGCTCCTCTTGAGTTGAGAAATATGGAAAATAGGATGAATACGGGCTATGGAAGGCAGATCCAATTTATAAGCCACTGGTCCTATGCGTTCCAGAACAGGGTAAGGACCATAGAAACGAGGACTGAGTTTCTCATTCATTTTTCGGGCAAGGGACTTAAACTTGTAGGGCTGAAGCTTCAGGAAAACTAAGTCACCAGGCTGGAAACAATCATCTCGCCGATGAAGATCAGCATTGTGTTTCATGCGAGCTTGAGCCGCAACTAAATTGTCCTTAAGCTCCCTTAATATGGCATTACGTTCTGTCAATTGGACATTGATATCTTCCACGGCGGATGGACAGTCTGTGAATTTTAAAAGGGTAGGAGGATCTCGTCCATAGAGGGCCTTGAAAGGCGTCATTCGGATGGACCCGTGGTAGGTTGTATTGTACCAATATTCTGCCCAAGTAAGCCAATTAGGCCACTGACGGGGCTGAGAACTGCAGAAACAGCGAAGATACGTTTTGAGGCACCTATTGACCACCTCCGTTTGCCCATCGGTCTGCGGATGGTAAGTTGAACTAAATTTTAGAACAGTACCGGCAGCCTTGAACAACTCTTGCCAAAACTGACTCATAAAGAGTTTGTCTCTGTCAGAGACAATGTAATTGGGAAAACCGTGTAGATGGACCACTTCCTTAACGAATATGGTGGCGACATCCTTTGCATTGTATGGGTGACCGAGACTAAAAAAATGGCTGTACTTGGTTAGACGGTCAACGACAACAAAAATGGTATCAACTCCCTTCGAACATGGTAGTCCCCCGATAAAGTCCATAGAAATATCCTCAAAGACCTGTTCTAGAATGGGGAGAGGTTGGAGGAGTCCAGCAGGTTTTAACGACGACTGCTTATTTAGTTGACAGGTGGTACAGGTTTTAATGAAGTTTTGTATATCTCCCCGAATACCCTCCCAATAAACTACCGAAGATACTCTTTTGTAGGTTCTGAAGAAACCCGAGTGGCCTCCACTAGGACTCTAATGGAATTCGGTCAGTAATTTGGAAACAAATCTGGACCCTTTTGGAATAACCAGCCTTTCCTTATAGAATAGGCAGCCCCTGCGGATATGATAGTTGGGTCGGCTAGAGGAGTCAAGGAGAAGATCCTGAATGATTTCCCTGAGTTTCGGATCTGTTTGTGCCTCCGTGGCCATCTCCTCAAATTCAGAAAATTGTACCGTAGATAAGGCTGAAAGGTGTGCCACTTTGGTTCCATCTTCTCTTCTTGAAAAAGCATCTGCTACTCGGTTGGAAGCCCCTGGGTAGTACTGAATGTCAAAGGTAAAACCCATTAGCTTGGAGATCCATTTGTGTTGTTCCGGGGTTTTTGATCGTTGATCCGTTAAAAACTGGAGGCTGCGCTGATCAGTTTTGATGAGGAATTTTCTGCCCAACAGATAGTGACTCCATTTCCTAACTGCAAAAACAATGGCCATCAACTCACGCTCGTAAACCGATTTCAACTTAGCTGTAGGGGAGAATGCCTTGCTGAGAAATGCTATCGGTCGAGACTGCTATACCAAAACAGCCACGAGACCTCTTCCCGATGCGTCTGTCTGAATTTCAAAGGGACGTGTGAAATCTGGAACTACTAAAACAGGGACGGTAGTCATGGCTTCCTTGA